GTGCTAGGATTGAATCTGAGTCCTCTGGAAGAACAAGCAGCCGGTACTCTTAAATTGTTGAGCTGTCTCTACAGCCTACGAAGCCCCATTTATCTTTTAAAAATAAATAGTTAGCTTTTATGTGTATGGATGTTTTGTTTGATTTCCTGTCTGTGTACCATGTGCCGAGGCAAGCAGAGGGCATTGAATCCCTTGCAACTGGAATTAGAGATACTTGTGAGCCACCATGTGGATATTGGGAATTGAACCCGGGTCCTCTGGAAGAGCAATGGTGCTCTTAACCACTGAGCTATCTCTCCAGCCCTTAAGTTATCTCTTTAAATATCTTTAGTAGTTCTTTTGGCAGGCTGGCTTGTAAGCTTTATATTTGAGCACTTTATATATTCTGTATAGTACTTTGCCTTTAAGTCATGTAATGGGGAACACAGAGGTGAAAAATCACTTTACACTTAATAACAATGAGAGAGAGTTTTTACATTGGTTATTCCCAGCACACACAAAATCATCTATTTTTTAAAAATAGCACTGGGATTTGAAGCAAAACCTCATCACTGCTAGGTGAGTTCTCTTCCACTGAGTTATAGTGAGTGAGGATGTGGGGAAAAGGGGTTTATACAGTGCTGATGAAAATGTAGATTAGACTAGCCACTATGACTGCCAGTATAGAGTTTCCCCAGAAAGCTGAAAGTAAAACTACCATATGACCTTGGCTGGGGATCCAAAGAGTCCAGGTCAGCATGCCACAGATACCTGTGCATCCATGTTCACTGCAGGACTATTCACATAACCAGATCACTGAATCAGCCTGTCTGATGACAATAGATCTGTCAACAGATGAATACATACATGTATATGTATATATACACATACATGTATATATATATATATATATATGAATATATACACAATGGAGCTTTAATCAGTCATAAATGAGAATGAAATTGTATCATTAGCTGAAAATGGATAGAAACAAATATGATCTGATTAAGCAAAATAAGCCAGACTTAGAAAGACAAACATCACATGTTTTGATGTTTTCTCTTACTTGTGGGTCCTAGGTTTTATACAGACACACAAATTTCATCTATAAGCAGAAGTGAGACCGTCTGGGAAAGAATGGGGCTCAGGAAAGGGGAGAAAGGGGAATTATGGGAGGGTGAATGTGGTCAAAGTACATGACATATTTGAACGAAAATGTCTTTATGAAGCTCATCACTATGCACAATGAATATACATCAATAAAAAGCAACTAAAATAAAAAAGTGCTTAAGTATTTCTTCCAGAGAAAGCATTCTTCTGTTTTCAGAAGGAATAAAATAATTCCGCTGAAAAAGAAAATATAAGATTCTTCTTGCATTCATACATCAACACAATGTGTCACCTTTTTATTTTCTTTGTAGCGCGATGGGAGGAAAATGAATGAGTCAATCAGGGAGAGAAATGGAGACATCACAGGATCACAGTGCATTCACTTACTTCTGAGAAGGTCATCTGTATCCCCAAGAAGGGCAAATGCATACAAGTTCTGAGAATTCCACTTTCTTGTGGTGATATTTCCATCTTGTGGCCTTTGGGGGTATTCCCACCCAAGGACTCCACAGCCAAGAGGTATGCATTGTGAGTGTGAATGGGAAGCACCTATCTGCATACATTCTAAGAATCACTAGAGTTTAGCCAGACAAAAGAGGCTAGAAACTCTGCACTCACAGGTAGGACTTTCCATCAATTGAAGAAGCGTATGCTTGGTGGGGAACCAGCAAGAATGAGGAAGAAAAATGAACAGAATGGACATACCTGGGAGTCTGACTTGAAAAGAGAAAATGAATTTTTACGGAAAGGAAAAGTTCACGGTAGACAGAGCTTGGAAATAAAATGAGATGCTCCTTGGGGTGTACCTTTTATGGGACGTACGTCTTCCTTTTATGGGACATAGACGCAAAGAGATGAAAGACAAAGATGCTGTGCCAACAGCCAGTGAAAAACAAGATTTCTGCACCAAAAACTAATAAGTGACTGGAAGGGTGATGCGGAGCAGGTGGCTTAGAAGCAAAGAGTTGCGAGATGGCTGACTGCAAGCTGGTTCTTGGATTAGACTGTATATAGGTGGTAGGCTTCTCCATAGCTCTTCCTAATGACCGTCACTACTTACTACTACATCTGCTGAGAGTGAGAGATGGGACCAAGATCTTAGAGAGTCCAGAGGCTTCTGGGGCTCAGTGGAGACTATGGTAATAACAGAAGACATGTTGGCTAGTGCCAGGTGCCCTTCATCCCCCTTGCTCAGGGTTCACTTTCATTCCTTACCCACCCCTCCTTCTTAAATTTTTTGAACTTAAAGCTACCACAGAGGCTGTAAACAGGGACACTGGGGGGGGGGTGAGGAACAAAGAGGTGGAGACGGAACCACCTGTGGCGGGAATACTTCTGAGCAGCAAGAATAGCCACAAAATTTCCTCCCACCCCCCCACTTTGTGCAGGTCAGTTTGGTTTGGGCTTTCTATTCCATTACTAATAAGCTTGACTCATTGCCTTCAGCCATCTTACTTCCTTGCCTGGGAGAAGAGTCACTGGAGGGTCACATTTCTCACTGGAAACTTCTATTCCTTCAACCCTACCCGGCTCCTGTAGCATGTTCAAGAGCCAAGTCTTCCTTTCACGGAACATAGATGGGAAGAGATGAAAGACAATGATATTTACCACCCAGAGACTGTCTTTTAATTCATCTTAAATTCTGCAACTGAGCCGGGCAGTAGTGGCTGACAGCTTTAATCCCAGCACTCAAGAAGCAGAGGTACGTGGATCTCTGGGAGTTCGAGGTCAACCTGCTCTACAGAGTGGGTTCCAGGACAGCCAGGGCTGCACAGGGAAACCCTGTCTTGACAGACAAACAAACACAAATCTGAACGGAAGCATAACTCCTGAAGTCTCCATGGTAGCTTAACCGTCTGCTTTGGTCTTGGTTCCGTGTGAAGAAGGAGGTTTGGCTACTCCACAGAGATTAGGAACTTGGGGGGTGGCAGTGATGTTTGAGTGAGATTTTCTCACTCAAGGGGGCTGGGAACCTGTGAGTCCTGGCTTGTTTTATGAGCACAGACAGTTACTTCTTAGAACCACATGTGAGTCACTACATTAACACACGTACGCTACACGCTCTTTGTTTCTTGGTATCGTCCCTGAAAAGTAGTTGGGATCTGTATATAAATCTGTTCTACTTATCATTTTTGTCAACTGATTGATTATGAGTATATTAAGATACCACTATGATAAGGGTTGGGGAGATGACTCAGCCAGTAAAATGCTTAACATGTAAATGCGAGGACTCGGGTTCAGCTTTCCAGCACTTACATAGAAGGCCAGATGGGATGGCACAGCTCTGTAATCATAGCATTGGAGGGAAGGAGGAGACAGAGCTAAGAAGCTCATTGGCCGTCAATGAGCTCCAGGGTTAGTGAGAGACCTTGTCTCAAAAAATTAGGCTATTGAAGAAGACACCCAACAGTTGATCTCTGGCTTCTGCATTCACGTGACACGTGTGCTTACACCCACACATGAACATACACCACACACCCACACATACAAATGATTACTGTGATAACCACACATCTGTGTACAGCTTGCAAGTTGACAACTTGCTTTCATAGCTCATCTCATCTTTAAAAGAAGCTTGGGTGGACAGCAGGTTGGACACGAGGGCCGTGTTACAGGGGAAGAAGCTGTCGCTTAGAGAGTCCTGGCTTGCCTAACATCACAGCTTAGAAAGGGGCTGCTGAAGCTGAATCATTTGATTTAAAGTCAGGGGACACCCCCTTCCGTTCTCATGAAGTCTCTCTAATAAAATCTGGAACCGAGAAAAAAAAAAACATACGAAGAGTGTAAAACAGAGTCCGAATAAAAAACCAAAGTTCACATGCAGGACAGGAGCAGCCATGTAGGATATCATTCAGACCTGGTTGTTTCCTTTGGAAGTTCATGAGATGACAGACATCGGTGATATCACTTCCATGTGTAATTCAAAACTTCAAGACAACTGAACGTTACCCTGTAAAACACCTGCAAGGCCTTCACTTAAGTCCTGAGTTTTCTGTAGTTTGGGCTGGTTTCCCTTTGAAACATTTACCTTTTTAGGTTTGCCATGCCTTCCATACCTTTGTGTCCCAAGCTTGTGCTTAGCTGGCCTGCTGGCCAGTCCAGCACAGGCCGAGTGACATAATAACAAGTGTAGTGTCTGAACACAGCATGACTTTCCTTCTTGTTAGCATACGGACTAGAACAGGTATTGAACCAATGATGGTTATTCACAAGGCAGGTTGTTCAAGCCACACTAAATCAGTTCCCAGACACTTGAGAACCTTTAGGAGTGACGCTTTAGGTGTTCTGGACATCGGATTAACGATCAGTTGAGCTGTAGCTTTCCAGCAACAGTCCATCAAACATCGGTTTAGTAAAAGTTAGTTTCTCAGATGTTCGATAAGCTTTCATGAATCAAAGCTCTACTTTGTGATCATTTTGATATTGCAGCTTTTGTGATCACTCCGGTTGTACTCACCCCTGTCTTAGCTGACCTAGAGTCACCTGGGAGATGAAGGCATACCCCTGAGTGTGTCCATGAAAGTGCCTTTAGAGAGGATTAGCTGAGGAGGAGAGACTCATCCTGATGCTGGCACCATCCCACTACCTGAGGGGATGGAACGGGGTTCGGGGGGAGGGGAGAAGATGAGTGCTAGAAGGTCCTTGTCTTTGCTTCCTGGTTGGTCAGGGAGCGAACGGTGCTTTTATGCCACATACTATGATGGCTATGGTGTCCTTCCCAAGAACATGGGACCAAATGTCCCATAAACTGAACCCTTGGAAACCATGAGCTGGGACAAATTCTCCTTTAAGTTGGTGTCTCAGGTGCTTTGGGTCACAGTGACACAAAAGGAAATAATTACATTTCTTTGCTGGGTCAGCCCGATTCTGCTTTATCACACCGAGAACTGCTAGCTACGTGAGAGACTTACCTGCCAGGCCTCAACCTTCTTGATGTCTGCACAGGACCCATTGGTGAAAAGCCCTCTTCCAGGTAAACAGGTATATATATCTTGCAGGGCATGGGCAATGGAGTAGACGGCTAAGTACACGTTGTAGGATATCCGTAAATGTTCGTAATCCATGTAAGGGGTCTCCACACTGCTGATGTTCTCATCCCCTGTGCAGGGGGGTCGGAAGGCTGTGGAGCTGTTGCTTAACCTGTTACCACCTTCCTCATGACTTCTTATGAATGTGTCCACAGGTAAAGGTCCTTTAGCGCCTTCTTGCAGGTGGCAGTTAAATGTTTCTTCCCAAAACTCTTTGGCAAAACCGTTGTGGACAGACTTCCTGGGATGGACTTTCTGCAGGAATTCTCGGAAGCCTGGGATCTGCCCGGCCTTCAGACCGAACCCGATGGTGCCCCCGACCACATGGAAGTATTCGGGCATAGCAATCAAGGAGGAGCTGGCCCAGGCCTCACTGGCCAGCCAGATCCTGCCTGTGATGTTGCGCCGCACAATCTCCTTGATGAGGGGCTCTAGGTCTGGGCCGCTGGAGAAAACGACGATGACCTTGGCTGTGGAGTTCTGGATCACTTCCACCACCTGCTGGATCTCTTCCTCGTCAGAGTATTGGGAGATAAGCTCGCTGAAGTCAATGCAGATGTCCCTCTCTTCTGCTTCCTCTCGGAACTTCTCAATGCCTGGCCGGCCGTAGTCATCATCAGCGGCAATGGTGCCCACCCAGTTCCAGCGGAAATACTCGATAATGTCCGCCATGGCGGTGGCCTGGTGTTCATCGTTGGGGATGGTGCGGAGGAAGGATTTGTACTGGTTCTTGTTGCTGAGGAGCCTGCTGGAGGAGGCGTAACTCACCTGGGGAAAGTCGAGAACGAAGAATGAGTGCGTAAATGAGGTTCTAGCTGAGTCTCAAGGCTTACCTTAAGGTCTCTTATCAAAGGAGTTCAATGCGGGCAGGATGGATATCTGAGAAAAATCACATAGTTCCACCCCAACGTGAACCCCCCAAGTACCTGTTAGTTCCCAGTGCATGATTCTTCATGATAATGCCTTCAAAATTGGGCCTAGCAATAGCCTTAACCCCTCCATAGTGAAATGTGCTGATCTCTTCAAGGAGTCTTGTGACCCCCATCCCCATGCCTTCTAGCTTCCTCTGACACACCTCTTTGGTTACATTAGATCCATGTGTTCACTTGGCACATGCTTTGCCTGTTGGGCCCAGGTGTTTTTTTTTTTTTGTTGTTGTTGTTGTTTGTTTTTGGAGACAGGGTTTCTCTGTGTAGTTTTAGTGCCTGTCCTGCATCTCGCTCTGTAGACCAGGCTGGCCTCGAACTCATAGACATACGTCTGGCTCTGCCTCCCAAGTGCTGGGATTAAAGGCATGCGCCAGGACTGCATGGCTTTGGGCCCAGGTTTTGATCTGAACATTACATCTCCCCACACTGTTGTGAATGCTTTGTACATAACCCTCCTCTGGGAGAATCAGCTTTCCTATGATTATAAATTTGAGACTCTTCAGAGGACCCCCAAAGAGGTCCTTCCTCCTCCTTGCTCATTTTCTCTCTTCCCATTTCCCAGTTATTTCCTGCATTCCTCTCCTACTTGTCCCTGCTCTTTAGATGAAATTAACACCAATTACGGGGAATTCTGAGAACTCTTTAGCCTTTAGGCTCAGGTAAATCAATCAAGCTCAGGATGTAAGCTCAGTTACCCCAAACCTCAATAGCAATAACGAACATCACCAAATGTCATCAGAAAAACACCCTTTCCTCCAACTTCTCAGTGGTTCACCCACCATACAAAGCCCTTTGTTCAGCTGCAGGTGAGGACTAAACCTCCTTGCCTACTACCCTCTGATGTGAATCTCAAAAACGTTATAGAGGCTGAAAAGGAAGCCCAGAGAAGGCATGCTGTTGGTAGGCCCCACTCTGCACTGTAGGCAGGTCTATGTTTGTTCGTGGGTGTCCATCAAGGAAAGAAATTCTGTGATGTTCAGAGATCACTGCTTGGAAAGAGCTCAGATACCATTAGGTAGGACAGAGCTCTGCAATGTTTTAGAAAAATATTGTGGTTGAGCTGGGTGGTGGTGGTCTTTAATCCCAGCACTCCGGGAGGCAGAGGCAGGTGAATGTCTGTGAGTTGGAGGCCAGCCTGGTCTATAGAGTGAGTTCCAGGACAGCCAGAGCTGTTGCACAGAGAATCATTGTCTCCAAAAACAAAGAAACAAACAAACAAAAACAAAAAAAAATCATGGCACAGAAGATTGTCAATGGAAGAGCTGGTTAACCAAGAGTCGCTTCTCCCCAGGTCACACTCCATGCCTCAAAGCTGCAGAGGATCAACACCTCTGCTTGGGCCCCTAGTAGCACCCTGGGTGTCATCACAGCTTACCCGCTAGGGAGTCCCGAGTTATTAGAGCATTTCTTCTGATGAACAGGGCAGCTGTCCCCTTCACAGAGTCCTTCTGGGAAGTGAAGCAGCATTTGACAGGGGTTGTTCACTGGTTTCCTAAAGCACACTCGAGCTTCCAGAAAACAAGTGGAGGAGACCCACAGGAACACTTTTCGGATACTTCTACTAATTAGCTTTGTTTGGGCAATGTTTTAAAGTAAACATTCCTACTAGGCTTCTTTTCATCGATTAAGAGTCTATATATGAAAAATGTCAAAGATACTGGCCTAGGAAAGACTCAACCAAATTTGCCAAAGGCAAGCGTAGCTTCTCTGGCAGGGTTTTGATCTTAGAAGCTGTAATATGAAACTGACAGCTTTTTAAATCCGAATAATCCCCTCCTGCTCCCGCAGAGTTTCAGGATATAGGTCACTAGAGGGAATGATTTGTGTACATATTATTAGTCTTTGAGAACCTCTTTGGAGGTTCTAGCCCGGGAGCACAGCTACTTGTATACATAACCCCCCACCCTCGACTGACTGGTCCTCCTCCAATCAGGGAGGGTCCTCCTTGACCATGTGAATAGCTTCAGGAAGAATGTATATGGAGTGGAGAGGGAGGAAGGGGATATCTGCCTAGCCAGCCCGATCAGCCAAATCGACCCTGATGATCAATGGGGTGACAGATGTCCTAGCCAGATCACCATCACACCCACATTATTAATTTTTGAAAGCTTTGTAGATCTAAAAAACTGGCTTCAGAGTCAGGGTTTTGCAAGGACAAAATTTACCATCTCTAATATCTGCCCACCATTGGTCATTTCTTTATTTTCTTTTGAAAAAAAAATGGAACAAAAATGGTCATACAGGAATACAAATTAAAACCCAAACTATCTCTCATGGATATATTCTCTTAATGTATTTAGTATAATTTTGGCCACCTATAAAGTCAAATAAATGTCACTCAGTGTCCTTCAAAGAAAAGGCCTTAAAAACACATCCAACTTTTCTTGACAGAGGGGGAAAACTACGTGGATAATTTGGAAACCTGTTCTGACCAGTTTCTTCCAGCTGGTCTTTTTTGTTACAGCCTTTTGGTGGCATGACTGATGTAAGTAACAGGGCCGGGCATGTGGCCCTACCCACAGAGCACCGCTTCCTTGCTCTGCAATGTCGCTCGCTGGGGAAGCATCAAAGTTCCAGATAGGCTGTATCCTAGCCTCTTTAACCACAACGTCTGCAGGACAGACCCAGGCAGAGGGATTTTTTTTTAAAGCTCCCTGAGTGATTCTAACATGAAGCCACAGTAAAAGAACTCCTGATGAAGATGAACACAATAACTTGACTGGTAATCACTATAGGTTTTGCTGTTGTTGTTGTTTTGAGACAGAGTATCACTCTGTAGGTAGCGCTGGAACTCACTACGTAGAGCGGTCTGGTCTCAAACTCACAGTGTGAGCCGGGCGGTGGAGGTGCACGCCTTTAATCCCAGCACTCGGCAGGCAGAGGCAGGCGGATCTCTGTGAGTTCGAGGCCAGCCTGGGCTACCAAGTGAGTTCCAGGAAAGGCGCAAAGCTACACAGAGAAACCCTGTCTCGAAAAACCAAACCAAACCAAACCAAACAAAACAAAAAAACTCCCAGTGTGTGCATCACTGCCCGCATCCCACTGCCTTCTTCTTATCCCTTCCATCATTCACGCTCTTGTCTTTCATTCTAGCCATGCAGAAATGAAGCGCTACCCTTCACATTCCTTTTTTCTTTTTCTCTTTTTCTTTCTTTCTTTCTTCCTTTTTTTTTTTTTAAATCTGTTGCCATTTCCATCTTCTACCACTTGGCTATGGGATAACAACTTATGATCCTGGTGCATTTAAAACAATGCTGCACATATTTAAACATGCCCAACACGTCTGGTGGGGACTGGGTCAAAACATCTTGGTACAAAAATGACAAAGACCAGGCTTTCTTATGGGGAACATCTTTACTTCCTGAAAGTAAGGGTTCCATCCACAAAAGACAAGAATGCCTGTGTTGTTACATGTCTGCAAAAGGGTTGAGGCTGTCGGCAGAGAAGCAGACCCCTTTGTGAGAAGAGAAATGGGAATTTATTCATATGAATTTCAGATTAAATTTCAAATATTAAACACCGAAAAAAAAAATCTAAGTCTGATCTTTAATTTACAGTTGAATGCTAATACCACAACCAAGCTGATGGACATGGACATTTAAGCTTCTTGCAATTCTCACTACAATAAAGTGATGTAATAGATCTATAATTATTAATTCCAAGAAAGGTTGGCTTGATGGGCCATAGCACTAAAGGGGAAAATCAGGTAATAAAATGGCATTTAGAGCTGGCTGTCGTTTGGTATGGTAGAGGAGGAATACAACTTTGAATCGATGCTTATAAAATACTTGCTTTGGTGAATGATTGGTATTTGAAAATGCACCTACTTACCACCCAGGCTGAGTTCCTGCAGGATGGAGACTGTTTGTTCATACACACTCTGTAAATATTTGTTGGGGGAATTAGAGTACGCTCCATTTCAGAACGTGTGGGACAGTGATTACACTTCTGTTTTATGGGGAAACATGCTTTATTTCCCTCTGAGCTAAAGCTGATGATAGGGAAGAAGAAATGTTGAGGGATCAGAATTAGGGGCAGATATTTTTGGTTTGAACAGTGAGACTCACATCATAGGACCTTACTCTTTTTGGTAAAAATAAAATGTCAGTTACTAAAGGAGTGAACTGGGAAATAACAGGAAAAAAAAAAAAAAGATCAAGCTGTATACATGCAAGTTATGTTTAAAAGAGTACTGGAGGAGCAGAGAAGGTCTCAGGGACTTCTGGTGCTCATATTCCACTGTTGTGACTACCTTTGTGCCCAGGGAAAGCCAGAAAGGACATTGCTAGCACATGATTTTCCAAACCAGCTTCTCCTCCTCTCTGCCTCTGGTGCCCATCTCCGGAGATGCCAGCTGGACTGGAAGGATGGCTCGGTGATTAAATGGTTGAACTGTTCTTTGAGAGAACCTTAGTTTGATTCCCAACACCCATGTTGGGTGGCTCACAACCACTTGAAATTCCAGTTCCAGGAGATCTGACACCTCTGGTCTCTGAAGGCACTGGCACGCATGCACATACCTTCACGCACGCGCGCACACGCACACATGCACACACACTCACACACACACACACACACACACACACACACACACTTAAAAATAATAAAAAATATGTCTTAGAAAGGAAGGCATCAGTACCTGGGGGATGTAGAAGAGCCCCAACAGGTTGGCTACTGCCGTGGAGACACCCGAGCCGGTTGCTCCCACCACCGCAATAGTCGAAGGGATGTGTTCTGAGCAGTTGCAGAACTCATCCAGGTTCAAAGAGTCGATTTTGTTCTGGGCAACAAAACTCAGGGTAGCCTCCAAGGCCTTGGAGACGGTGTTGCAGGTGTCGAATATCCTGTAGCCCAGCGTCATGTTGGGAAGAAGGGCGGGGCTGCTGTTTATCTCCTCTATGGCAAATATCATGGCTTGTAACCATCGAAATCCACGGAAGTTATACCTGGAAGGAAGACACGGAAGTAAGTATTGGTAGACCGTGGTCAGCTCTTAGCGCAAGGGCCGCCTGGGCTGTGCTTGAATTACCAAGCAGTGTTGTGACGTGCCTTTGAGGTTCAAGAGCCTTTGTGTGAAAACAGAAGACGACATTTTCCAGTTAGGCTGGCTTTAAAGGTGTCACGAGACAGGCAAAATTCCTAGCAAGTGTGTCCCTTTGAATTAGGGGACAATAACAGAAAGGATTATTTTGATACTTGATTGAATAATTTTTAGTTGCGATCTCTAGCATAAAATCGGCAGTAGCTGGCTGAAGGATTTTAGTGAAGGGAAGGCATGGCTGGGTGTGATGGTGCAGGCCTTGTGTGAGTGGCAGCCCTTGGCAGGTTGGAGCAGAAAGGTTGTGGGTTTCAGGCCAGCCCTGAGCTGCATAGCAAGTCTTTGCCTTAAAAAAAAAAAAAAAAAAAAAAAAAAAAAAAAAAAAAAAAAAAAGGTCAGCCACGGATCTCTGCATCTGCTTCCTTCAGTCCCTGGATGAGGGTTCTATGATGACAGTTAGGGTATTCGGATGCCTATGGTGGGATACTTTGTGTGGCCTTGGTGCAGGAAGGAGGGGCTTGGACCTGCCTCACCTGAGTGTGCCGGGCTCTGCTGACTCCCCATGGGAGGCCTTGCCTTGGAGGGGGTGGGAGTGGGGGGTGGGTTGGGGGGAATGCTGGGGGGCAGGAGGAGGGAGGACAGGGGAATCTGTGGTTGGTGTGTAGGGTGAATAGAAAATCTCTTAATTAAAAAAAAAGAATAAAGAAAAAAAGAAAAGAAAAGTCACCAGGGGACTGTCACTAGATCAGGATATTAGTGTGTGGGAGCCTGAAAACAACCCCAGCTGTGCAGACTTGTCACAGATTTAGACTGTGACATTCCTGGAGGCGAAAGTAGCAAACAGAATCAACCCTTTGTAGATAAATAAGTATTTGAAGACCACATACAGATGGGGTATGAGATGCCTTAAGAACCGAACGCTTCCCGGGCAGAGGTAACACATGCCTTTAATCCCAGCACTCAGAAGAGACAGGCAGATCTCTGTGAGTTTGAGGCCAGCTACGTCTACAAAGGGAGTTCCAAGATAGCTTACACAGAGAAAGTTACACAGAGAAACCCTGTCTTGAAAAAAACAAAACAAAACAAAAGAATTGCATGCTTTGGGCTAATTTATAATTCCTGTTTTAAAAAATGATCATTACTGCCTTTCAAAGAAAATTATTTTAAATAAAAATCAAATAAGCCAACAAAGAAATGGTGCCAGTTCTTATTCTCCCAGGCTTAAGAGAGTGAAGGATGAATAAATGTGGTGCCTCAGTGAATGGGGGTCCAGCGGAAAAACCGTCACATGGGGCAGGCTCCTCCTCTGTGTTGTGGGCCCACAACTCAAACTCAGAGACAGGAGGAGAATCCTGACTCACTGTATTCCACCAGATGGTCAGATGGTCATGGTTCCAGAGTTCTTGGTCTAACCCCGAATGTGGTTAGACCAAGTGCCTGGTCACTTCACGTTTCTTTCGTTATTTAATTACTTTTTTCACACTTGTAAAATTATTAGGAGATACTGAATTATTTTTAAAATGTAACTAAGTGTTTTTTTTTTTTTCTTGATAAAACCACTGCTATACTGATTTCTCTGTCTTTAATACATTTCCAGGGCAAGTTCCTTGTTTGTTTTGATGTCTGTTCCATTAGAAACAACTCAGACAGTGTTTGTCCATGTGGGTCATATGCAGGATACATATTAGTACAAGTTTACACTTAATTTTTTCCATATTCTTGAGAAAAAAAAATGTGAAAACGTCACTGGCTGCCCTGACGGCCATGAACAGAAATCCAATTTTGTTGGGATAACGTTGATCTTTCACTTCATTTTCCAGGAAGCTCAAGGTGAAATGCTGGACCCTTCTCAAAGCCGCAAGGTGCAGAGGGAAAGCGCTGTTCTCTGAGGAGCCGAGTCACATGTGACGTGAGCTCATGGCCTCTGAGGTGTCTCCCAGCTAGTGGAGGTGACACTGCGGCAATCACATCCTACTACGGAGCTGTGGCTGGAAGCCACATTCTAAAGGGTCACAGTCAAGGAGAGAGCAATAGATGGGGGACAGGGTAGTGAGGGCCTAAAAGAAATCACGTGTAAGAGGAGCTGATGGGAAAACCGAGACGATGGGCTTGGAGAAGAAAAGATTTAGGCGGACATATTAGCTGCCTTCAGATGTTTTGAGAGGCCTCAAGATACCTAAGCCATCTGTGATGTCTCATCTACGCCAGGTACGTTCTCTGTGCGTGACAGGGTCAAAGGTGGGTAGCGTGGGCAAGAGGATAGAGGGAAGAGGTTCTGCTTTTTATGAGAAAGATGTTTTAACAGAAGAAGTTTCAAAATGCTGTGGGCTGTATTTGGAAAGTGCTCGCTTGAGTCTTGGTGGCTACACTGTTTCTCTGAACTAAATTTCTGTATCAAAGGTGAACAGCAGAAAAAGGCAAAGTAGCAGATACTTACGGATCACTCACTGGAGCATCTGGGTTCGAGGGAAACTTACTATGAAAGTTACAAGAGCAAAAACGGACTTCCTTCTATACAGTTTTAATCGCTCAATTGATGAATGGATACATTCATTCATTTTGCATTGTTGTGGATAGAATTCAAGTGTATTGTAGAAAAGGCTGTACCACTAGGTGAAATTCCCAGCCCTTGTTATCTTTTTTATTTGTTTGTGTTTTTGAAACAAGGTCCTGCTACTGAGCCAGGGTCCTGCTACTGAGCCAGGGTCCTGCTATGTACCCTGGAACTCTCAATCCTCCAGCTTCTTTGCTGGAATTGCAATATGTACCACCCTGCTCAGCTCCTTCTTGGTCTTGCATTGAGCAACAGGCTGCCAGATGCTGTCACTAGGTGGACAATGATGCTCTCTGGCTACCAAATGATTGGCCCTAGGCAGGCCTGGTGTTTTCTATTGGATACCCTTGGCATTTTATTTTTTTGGAAAAAGACTTCTTTACGGAAAGAAAAGGGAGGAGTCAGTACGCCTCCGCATGATAACCCATTGTTTTCCAAGTGAAAAAAGGTTTTTAATGTTCCTTTGTGTCTGGTGCAGCTTTTCTCCATCCACCCAGAGATGGACAGATCCCCAATGCAGCCTGCCTTACCTAATGCACTCCACGGACTCTGGTCTTGACTTCAGATCTTGATCTTTGGCTGCTACTCCAAAATGGATAGGAAAGAGACCCCCAAGGATAATGTCCCCCTTCTTTTGGGCTCGCTGGTCAGGCCCATAGGCAGAGGAGTGCCAGGCGAGAGCCAAGAGGGCCAAACAGCAGCTATAAGGTGCCATGGCTCTGCCTTCCCCCTAGGGGGACAGTAGAAGGTGCTAGTGGTCTGGGGGCACGAGAACTCTCCCCCTTGGTGCAGTTCACGCCTTCTGATGGGGACACATGTCTACAGAGTGGTTAATGACGGAATAGAAGTGATTGCGTTTGCTTCTCCATTTCTGCCCTCTCCATGGCAGAAGTGTAGGGTGGGTGGTCCTCCAGTCCTGAGAAGCGACATCATGTAGAGACTGCCCCAGATGCTTTCTAAAAAAAAGAGAGAGAGACAAAATGGATTCAGGCAAACCTACATCCCATCTTCGTACCATGACAGAGGTAGCTCAGAATTTCTGTGGCTTAGAATCACAGTTTTACTAAACTGTGTGTGAGACACAGAAAATTTCAGTCGCCCACATTGCAGAAGGACGGTATCCAGTTCTGAGAGGCCACCCATAAACGCGGCCTGCTCTGCAGCTGCTGACCATAAACCACTCATCCTTCTGCATGAAGGATGCATGGAAATGTCCCCAAAGTAGCAGCTCCTTCAGTTCAAAATACCAATGATACTTTATTCCTATATGTTCCTGTATGTTCCTATAGAAAACACAGAACAAGTTACATTTAAGTTTAAATCTGACTTCAGATCAAGCAAAAATGTCAGAAAAGATCACTCATTCCTTCCTCATTTATTTTGATAGCCTCACCCCTTTTAGTTAAGATCTCTGTTCCCAGTTTGTTAGGTAACAGTTTACAAGGCTTTTAAGAACAGTTAGTATGAAACACAGCCTCTTGCATGGTAGGTTGTAACTTAGCAGGTCATGCGATTGAATGTGGGGGAGCCTGGAAATTTTGACAAGGGCCAGCAAGACGGCTCAGTGAGTAAAAGTGCTTGCTACATAAGCTGACACCCTGAGGATCTGAGTTCAATTCCTGAAAACGGAGAATAATGGACTCTTAAATGTTGTCCTTTGATCTTAACATGTGCAGTGTCAAACATACCCTCCCTCTAACCCCTGAGTTCAGTTTTAAAAGGAAAACAAATTTTGGCAATAGTTAAGATTTTATGAAGAAGCATTGGCCAGAAATTAATTCCAGATCAAATGCATGATGGATCTGAGGTGCTTCTGGTAGCACCTGCCCAGGCTGTGTCATGTGACTTCACCACAGCCTTGGTTCTGAACACACAAGTACTTTGGTGCTAGCATGCCATCACACTAGGTGACAACCTAATGCTTCTGGAAAGGCCTCCTCTTAAGGCGATCGTGTGTATGAGCTGCAGTGTTTTGTTAAACATCCCAAGTTTTCCGCTCTTAAACATAAGGGTTTAGTAGAGGAAAACAGACGTATTTAATATGTCTCTATTGCCGTTCCTTGGCATGTATCAATGGTTGTATCTTCAGATTGTATTGTGTCTTGAATGTCTTAAAAACAAACAAACAAACAAACAAACAAACATTCAACAGATTTTGGCGTGGGGTTGGGGCAAATTTTCAACAGTTTCTGAAATGGTCCTGAACAGATTTCTGCCATTTTGTACCACATATTTATACGAAGTGGCATGATCGGCATTGATGATTATAAATCAATTATCAAAGAACTCTGAAGAACATTGAAGATGAGGCATTGTTTTTAGCTGAGATTTAATTTTTTATATAAAAATAAATAAGCACATCCATCTTATTAGTATGCAAATTTCTGTTGTCTTTAATACATGTTAAAATTATATGCATACTAAATGTCCTATAGTATTTTTTTTTAAATACAGGATCTCTTTATAGGCCTGGCTGGCCTGGAGCTCTCTATGTAGACCAGGTTGGCCTCAAACTCACAGAGACCCACCTGCCTCTGCCTCCCGAGAGGTAGGATCAAAGACATGCACTATCATGCCTGGCTCTCAGTTAGCCTTAATTGCCAACTTGACTTAGCCTAGAGTTATTTGAGTAGAGTCTTGATTTAGAAATTGCCCATATAAGATCCCCTGTGGGCATATCCACTCGGGACTGTCTTGATTAATTAGTGCAGGAGGGCCCCGCCCACTTAGAATGGCACCCTTCATAGGTAGGTGGTCCTGGGCTGTAGAGGAAAGTTGGCTAATTATGACCCTGTCAGGGAGCCTGTAAGCAGCACTCCTTCATGATTCTGCTCCAGGTTCCTGGCTTGAGCTCCTGCCTTGACCTCCCTCAGTGACGAACTTTGATCTTCAAGTGTAAGATGAAATAAACCCTTTTCTTCCACTAAGTTACTTTTTTGTTTGTTTGTTTTGTTTTGTTTTTGTTTGTTTTTTCAAGACAGGGTTTCTCTGTGTAGTTTTGGTGCCTGTCCTGGAACTCACTCTGTAGATCAGAACTCACAGAGATCCTCTTGCATCTGCCTCAAGTGCTGGGATTAAAGGTGTGAGGTTTTTTGTTTGTTTGTTTGTTTGTTTGTTTCACAGTAACAGGATGAAACTAGACCATTAAATAACTGCTTTAGATACCTTTATTTCTGATTTATTATCAATAGAGATTTTATTTGTGTGACTATTTTATATGTCCATATAAAGCCGTATCATTTTTTTTTTTTTCAGGAAAAAGTGGTGAGAAGTGAAGAGGTATGAGGAGCCCTGTGGTGAAGGATTCAGGTTCATTGTGGATCAGTCACAGATTCTGAGGAAGCCTTTCTGCTGTAGCCTGATCGGCCTGCTGAGAGCCCTGTGCTGTGCCCATCCCAGCAGACCCCTGCTGTGGGGGTCAAATACCGCTTGCTTTTTGATGTTGGCTCAAAATATCAATGCAGTCTTTTCTCAAGTTCAGGGCCAAGGACTGTACTGTCAGCTAGACTCTCCATTTCCTCCCAAGCTGCTTCATCTTAGCATGCCCTAAGCTCACCTACCCCCCAATTGCTTGTTTTATATTACAGAAAATGATTTCCTACCCACCAAGAAACAAGCCGAGGACTCATCCTTGTTTCCCGGCCCTCCCATGATCACCCTTCACACAGGCCCGCCGTGGAGCCTTCTTCCTAAATCTCCCCAGAATCCACCTAATTCTCCCAAATTGGAAACTCACCAAATTTCCAAGGGCATCTAAAGTCATTTTTTTTTTTTTACCTGAATTTATACATTTCCCCCCGCAACTTGCCTTCCCAGTGTGAGGAAATTTTTATTGTTTAGCTGTTGAAACAGGTCTTGTTAGAACTCCCTGTGTAGCCCAGGCTGTCCTCAAACTTGAGAGTCTCCTGCCTCAGCCTCAAGGCTTAGGGCCTGTCCCACCATCCTCAGGTTCCAGCCTCAGCTTTGTCCCTTTGCAGTGAATCATGCAAGCCTTGCTGGGCTGTGTGGAGCGGGTTCTTCACCCCCGATTCTGCTTCCCTTGCTCTGCTGCGTGGAGGTGGATGTGACAGCTGAGGTCCCCCTGGAACCCGGAGCCACACTCTAGGGAATGCCGGCTCTGCAGGTTAAGACTCTAGTCACCACTGGACTGATCCTGCCCCTCCTGTGGCAGAGAAACATGTTTCTGACTTGCTGAAGGCACCATTTTTCTGCATTTTTTCCCTAACTAATTATTCCTAACAGTACCCAATCCTGGTCACACGCTCGTTTGTTCTCTTTACACTAAGTGTATTCTATTTAAATCACATCAGTCCTGTTTGCCTTCCTCCAAAACAGCAATCACACACAAAGCCAATGCTAATATTTGTTTTTGTTTTTTTTCTGACTGGCAGACACATATTGGAAGCAGCTGCTTCCATGGTTTAGCAGGTCCTCGCCATCAGAAGGATATCAGGAAGGATGCTTCAGGATGGACAGGTGATTTCTCATTGAGTTCCTTACCCAAGAGATGTAGGAAGGAGATGTGAGCAGACTGGGCTATGGGGTTTCTAGGTGGGCTGTGGGGTTTCTAGGTGGTGATTATTTACTCAAGGAACATTTTTTTTTTGGCTCTCCCTGTGTTAGACGCCACGGTGTGTAAGAGACTAGAGAAAGAAATGTGAAATTCTTGCCTTCAATGTACTCATGGTTTAAAAGGAGACAGAAAATGCATTATAATCGAAACAGTGCAATTATTATAATGAATTAAGAACCAAGGCCAGAGCCAGCACAGACCGAGTGATGTTTTCTGGTGATAGCTTTGGGAATGAATTGAGTCACAGTTTTGAGTGACGCCCAGCATATTGGGGACAGGGCCTATCTCTTTCTCATCATTGTAGTCTACCACAAAGTACCACCAAGTACCACATCTGAGACTTAGTGGATGATACACAAGTATTTGCTAAGTGAGTGGCTAAAGTGTGGCCGGTACAGACCAGGTCTGGCTGGTCGGGCAGCTTGCAGACAGAATAGGGAAAGCAGCCACCCAACGTGACTTAAGGACTCTGTGGGCAGGACTTCTTCATGATCTCAGTTGAGTCTATAGCATTGAACAGGGGACCTGAAGTTGAACAGATACTTAAAAAAATATCTATTGAACTTGCCTTTGTGTGATAAAAAAAAAAAGGAAGTCCTTGGCTCATCTAAGGTCCACAGTCCAGATGAAGTGGCTGAGGATAAAGACAGGCTTGTCATCAACATTTCGACTTTCAGTTTTCACCAAAGTAAAGCAAGCCCTCTCTTACCTCCCTTTGGTTTCAACGTTTCTGGAAGCTGGGTAATTAATTCTCCAGCCAAATGATTCTGTCCACCAGAGAAAACCTAGGCATAAATCTTCTGAGTGCAAAACATCTACATACAGTTAAGGCATGCCATGCTCAAAAACTAGAATTTCTCAATTTCGGGGTTTTAGAAATAAAATGTCTAGATCGTCTATGAAAGACTATGGAGGAAAACATGTTTACAAAGCCGAACTGATTTCCAATGGGTGTCACCTGTCTTTCGAGGCTGAGCACCCGGATTTCTCCCTGGTTATTGTAATCTTTGTTCTCTGTCCCACGGACTGTGGAGCACGACTGGTGAGGTATGAATTACCATTGTGGGAAGGATAACCGTATGCGTTTGTGAGATGAACAGGGAAAAATAGCTTCAAGAGTTCAAATAACGATCAGCAAACTTGTGTACCTGGCTCTGGTTACAGCTTTCCTAACTCTTGCCGAGGACCGTCCATGCTAAGGGCTTCTATATACACTTGTTGCCTAAGAATTAGGGAGGGTCATCCTATCTGCCATCATCAATGTGGCCATCCCCCATCAGCCACGACTGTCCCCAGTCCTAGGTCTGTCTTCATTTCTTCTGTCTCAAGGCCGGACAGCCTTGGTTTATAATGGGGTCTCTTTCAGCGCTGTAGGGAGCACAA